AAATATGAAATTCATGATTTTATTAGATCACTTGTCATTCTCGGAAAATGGATTCTCTGACTAAAAGAGAAGAGGAGAAGTTACCACACATATCACATGGTTTGATGCAGAGAGTTAGTGAAAACTGGGGCTGGGTTGTGACGTTGGGCGTAACTATAATTTGGTTTTTAATTGTCGGATCCCAATATGTCTATGCCCTCACATTTCTAAAACTCCAACAAGATTTCAATGGATCTGCAACTATGGTTGGTAAGTGTATCAGCTTTCACTTATTTCATTTAGTTTTGTTTTGCTTCATTTCCCAGCATTTTATTAATTCTCATTCCTACGTTTTTTCATCTGAAAAATAAAATGAAGTCACAAATAAAATCAGATAGATTAGAATTAATTTATTATTAAATCAATTAGATTAATTTGGTTTTTATCCCAATTTATCTCATTTCCGTTACGAATATCTTTAGATTTTATTTCTTGTAGTATACGGCGTTACAAAAGCAAAAAGCAATTATATCATAATCATTTCATTCATCACATTATTTCTAACGTTTATTAATATTGTAGCACATTTCATGTCAATAGGCCTACATTTAATTTCTTCTCATTTCATCTAATTCATTTAATCTTATTTTGTATTTCCATCTTATTTTGTCCAGTTTTATCTCCATTCATAACGTTTTATCTCGTTTTGTGTTATGTCATATATCATTTCATCTCATCTTATTCCATATCATTCCATACTATTTCATACCATTTCATTTCATTTTATTTAATCCTATTTTATATTATTTCATCTCATTTTGTCTCATTTCATCTCATTTCATTAATTTCTTGTCATTTAACCTCATTCAATATTATTGTACCATACCATCACATTTCATGTAATTTTATCTCATTTTATCATCTTTTACCTCATTCCATTTAATTTTATTTAACATTAAAAATTGTACAAATAGGCTACTTAAATGATTAGGCCTATAAGTTGCAATTTATTTTATTACTTATTATTTCACAAATTCCTTTTGGAGAAACTATTGTATATGAACCTTTTCTAATGTCTTGTGTTATATATTATTGCCATAGTAATTGTTAATAATTTCACTATGTTTTTTGGATTGATTATTTCGCAGGACTAATTGGTTCAATTTACCTATCGCTTGGTTGTGGCCTGTCCCCAGTGACGTCATTGCTACAGCGGCGCTACTCGCATCGTATGATAACTATAATGGCTGTCCTCATCACCTCTGTGTCCTACATTCTTTCATCATTTATGGACTCTTTAATCTTCCTTGTATTTACATTTGGTGTGCTTAGTGGTATTGGCTATAATTTTGTTTATACATCTCTTAATCATTTGTTGGTGTGTTATTTTCCATCTAAAAAGTGCCGCGGACCAATAGCAATTGCTAACGCTGGACAGACTATAGGTAAGTACTTTGATAATCTTCGTACCCACATTCATGGGGTGAGGTTGAGTTCAGGTACCAACTAGTTGAATATAGAATTAAAATTAAACACATCGTACGCAGTCCGGTTGTGTCAACACATTAGATTCAACATTTGGCAATTTTTCCTTAAATTGAAAAAAATACTATATATTTTAGGTTAGCCTATTATAATGTTAACATTTATTGTACCAACAATAACAGTATCGGGTTATAACTGTATATACTGAGTTTATAAAGATAAAAACGATGTTTTTTTATGTTTATTTCTAAACTTAGCACAACTCGGCTTAAGTCCTGCCATAGAGAAATTGCTCTCGCTGTATGGATGGCGGTGGACACTTCGAATTCAGGGTACGGTTATATGTTTAGTTGGCCTACTAGCCTGCATTGTGCTGAAGAAACCACCAGTATGGAAGACATCGGAGAAAGAAGATAAAAAGTCAAAGAAATGTCACAGTGGACAGTTAATGGCGGTTTTAAAATTGCCTGAGACTTGGATTTTCAGTATGTCAACATTCTTAACTGGAGTTGCATCCACGTTCCTGTATGTCTACATTGTAAGTTTGTACGAGTACTTTATTTATTTATTTTACATCATAACCAACAGCGAAAATCAATCGACATTTACAGGTACACAAAACGTGTGGCGTGGTTCTTGAATTCGGGTTCCACGACAGGAGCTCTTTTCACATTGATAACTTTCGCATTTATAATCATTCATGGTAGGTCTGAAGAACACAGGCTTTACATTCCCAGACGTATTAAGAATTCCTTTTTTCTATTTAAGCCACAATTCCAACTTGCAGATGTGTTGTGTTCGTGCTCCAAAGGTGAATACAATAGGGTGCTCATTAGCAACAAATCAGGGACTGGCAACATAATGAATTTATTATTTTGTTTCTTTCAGGGAAGTTACATCGTAAGTAAAGGTTTGTCGGAGGAACAGAGCGCGACTGGTATGATGCTGATTGGTTGTGGAAGCCTGGCAGTGTGTTTAATCGGCTCGATTTTGATCAACAGAATTTGTTTTCCTGTCATATACCTCATACCTGTCGTCTGTGTATTGAAAGCCTGTACTTTTACCATCATGACATTTGTTCAGACATTCCGGTCTGTGAACATAATGTGCCTAGGTACGAAAATTAATCTTAGGCCTCAAAAACAACTTTAAAACAAGCTGAATGTTCATTAACGTATATATCAAAAATCGTAAGTGATTGGAATGGGACTCACGACCTCTAGATGACTATCCTGGTGGTTATGATCGGTGTTCTTGATGGTAGAAGTGATGATGATGATGATGGCTACGACAATATAATGACGTCAACGGCAGTGAAGATGATGATGCTGCTAATATTGTCCATGATGTTTCGTAATTAATCAACCAATCAATCAATCAACCAATCAATCAATCAATCAGTCAGTCAGTCAGTCAATCAATCAATCAATCAATCAATCAATCAATCAATCAATCAATCAATCAATCGATAATGCCATTTTTGTTCAATACAGTTATAGGAGTACTCAGAACTGGCTATAATATATTGCTTGTACCACCGGCAGTCGAGTTGCTAGGGACGTCCAGGGCGCTGGAGGCAACTACAATTGCCATTTCAAGTCTTGGGTTTGGGTACTTTTCTGGATCTTACGTATCAGGTAGGTTGCGTTAATCACATAGGCCTACTCTCTGTAGTTAAATAGAAAAAAAAATCCACACCTATTGGAAAATAAATTTGATTTGCAAATAATTTCACAGATAAACCGGGATTAAATATTTAGGTAGACCTTTATTAATAATAAACCTATAAAATTATTGTGTTGGCCAAGCCCGACTGACCTAAATGTACGAAATTGAGGTTCGGCATTTTTATTTATTTTTTTATTTTTTATTTCTATTTTTTTACAACAAAAAATATTTTGTATTTTAATGAGCTAAAAAGGTTGGAATAAGACTATCTTGCTGGACGGTAGGTGATGCGACAGTGTTATGCGATCGTTTTGCTCTTAAATATAGATTTTAAAAATGGTCTTCTTCATAATGATAATAATAATAATAGTAATAGTAATAGTAATAGTAATAGTAATAGTAATAATAATAATAAAAATAATAAAAATAATAAAAATAATAAAAATAATAAATAATAATAATAATAATAATAGGTTCTTAATATAGCGCCCTATAATTATTTAAAAAAAAACGGCATTGGCAGATTCCCAATTTCAACTTTACAGTTTTTGGGAAGGGCGTCCCCTCCTATTTGAGGTTTGTTTGCAATTAGTAGACTGTTAGACGATCTTAGACGGCATCTGAAAAGAAGCAGGCTTAAAATAGAAAGTGTATGTTGTACCAGAGTACACAAGAAGCACACGCAAAAGACGAATGACCATTATTTTTCTTTTCACGGTAAACGAAGGAGGGTGGCTAGCCACCCTATTCACCCCTCTACCGTCCGCCACTGTAATTTATGGTATCGTCCTACAACCCCTCTTTTATACCAACTTGATCAGAAGTTTAAGAACCTTTAGGGAATTGTTAGAAACCCTACTATTTTAGTGATAGGAACGAAATTTTATGGCTCGAGCATTTCTAGGTGGCCGGAAATGGCATAAATTCAATGTAATTTTCATTTTTTCTGATATTATCTTAAACTTTCAAAAAAAGGTAGAAATAATTTGATTGTCTAAAAAACATGAAGGCAAGGCCATGGCAAGGGTTCAGGGCTAAAGCCTGCTAGTTGCCAGAGCCATATCAGGATTTTAGAGTTTCTCTAATATTTGACTTCATAACATGGTGTATCAACAAGAAAAAGTACAAATTTAAGTACAGTAGGGCCTATACCATGGAGGAAGTAGTTTAGGGAATACAAAGATATTGCATTGCACCGCAACAAATTGAGAGATCAAAGATGACTCTGAGAATCGTGCCACCGAATTCCGTTTTTCTGTTCTGCTTCATTCGCTGTGTTATGTTACGTCAATAGTCTTTGTACTTAATTTTAAAACGTTGTCTACATTCCTTCAAAAAAATCTTTGTATTTGTGTCTAGTAGCATTTGCTGATACACAACGATAGTCTATTAAATTGACCGTTAGGACCTCTAAACTCATGAAAAGATGCTGACGATCAGAAGGCTTCGCCCATGAACACTTGCCACGGCTTTGGTGCTCAGCAAGCACAGAGAGTGCTCGCCAAGCACCAGGGCCAAGCATCAGGGTCTCCAGCTCCGGTTGTTACGAAACTACATATTCTCTGACAAGAAGAGCTACGGTATAATTCTGTTTTCATGTACTGCAAGTGATGAACTAATTAAAGTTAGGCGTCGTTGCCAAAATTTCTGAAATTGGTAAGGGCGGGGAATTGAATGTCCTTCACTTATGGGGTTTAAGTTGTATTGCCGCACCCGCAAGTAATCAGAGCCGGCTTTACCCGTATACCTTGTGGTGATATGACAGTTTGGCTGACTCCAACCATACATTTTTTAAAAATTATTTAAATTTTTTATATTGTATTTTCAAAATTAATGAAAGTACGAGAAAATGTCTGGCCATAGCCAAGAGTGGTTACGGCGGCCCTGTAGACCCTCCTCAAGAAAGTCTCTCCCTGGATCCGCCACTGTAAAACATGTATTTCGTTCTTTTTACAGGTAAAATGTTTGACGCATTTGGGTCCTACGACATCGCACTCTACATATGTGCAGCACTGTATATAACTTCGGCTACGTTGGCTCTGATAGCTCCACTTTATCAGCGATATTTTGTGCCTGATAGATACATGGTTGATATAAAAGTAACGGCGATAAATGACGAGAATAAGAATGTCCTTACGAGTACCAACTACGAGCGCTTATTCATCGAAGAGCGAGAGAGTGTCATATAGGCCTTGCAGTTGTATACTTTTTTATTGGAGTGAATCAATGATAAACTCTATGTAAACGCACAACATAGATAAACAAAAGGTCATGGGAAAAGATACTAACTCTGTAAAAATCAAAATACAAAAAAAAAATAAAAAGAAATGCCAGCAACATAAATAAACTATCACTATAAAACATGATTTTATGTGGGACGATATTTATATATGCCAGAAGTATAGAAACCATGAAAAGTAATAAATGTGTTATATGGTATTGAATATAACTTGTAAGAGTTCTGTTGCATATATTGATATTAAAAATAAAGTATTTATATATTATATTATACAAGACGCTCTGGAGGTTTACCGGTGTCCAGTTTTGGGTTTTTCCAGGGAACAGTTCACTGTCACGTTTTTCTACGTCATCAATTTTTGTTTTGCCAATTCACATTCGTATATTTAACAGCATATCCTGTTAGATGTTTTTAGGATTCCACAAAACGGCAGAGTAAACGTATATGTAAACTCGTGAAGTCCATTATTAAAACAGTAGTCAGAAAATGGAGATTTATTTACACAAATTTGACCAAATATAATTATACAGTAATAACATCGATCACTGGAACGGTGATATATCGCCGTACAGAAACAATCCATAATTTGCAAGCCCTGTCTTGTTCCAATAGGCCTACAAATTTCTTGAGCATGGGCCAAACCGTCTGCAGTTTTTCAAAAGAACGACGAATAATGGAAACGAAGATGTCACGTACGGTATTCGTTACCGATTTTAGCAATAATAATGTGAACAATAAGAATAATAAATTTATGCAAAATATGTTTAAGTACATATAGAAATTTGAGTTATTAAAAAATTTTCAAGAGCCAGCCCATAAGGTAAAAGTTACACTTTACTTTTGGCGAATCCTACAAGGTATTGTCTTTCGTGTAATGATTTTCCTGTTAATATATATATTGTTTTATTATATGGTGGGTTCGTGTAGCATAAAAAATGGTATATGTGATAGATGATATAATGATATATAGCCCATTTATGCAATATCAGACCTTAATGTAAATGTTTTTGTTTTAGTTGGTGTATTGTTTATATGAACATGAAAATGATTTTGTTACCTACTGAAATGAAATAGAGAATAAATAAAAAAATGAAGTTTAAATTTATGTGGATGTCATAGTATAAAATGTTCACAAATTTAACCAATCATTGGCTGCATTTGACTGGTTCGTTTTGTTGACAACGATATTTCGAGTATTACTTTCATTTAACTGGTTCGTAAAATTAAGGTAAACCAGAGTTAATTTGCAATAAGTTATCCACGTGACCAAAATACACATATGGACGATTTGTCAGATTAGCAACAATATCTGCGTTAACATAATTTATATTAAATTTCAGAAAATAATAATTATAATATTTACCCACATAAAGTCAAAAAAGAATTGTAGGCTAACAGAAAAAAAATTGTTTTTTTACAAAAACATCTACCAGCCATTTTGTTTTGTTGAGTATTTATCAGTTTTCTATTCGCCTGGTCATTTTTAAGTAGGATTTTACCACTGCGCAGGCAGGCATGGTTTAACGAAGAACAACCAGTCGAATTCAGCCATTTAGTACGAATTGTCATATAAATAGAGGACTCAATGATACAAAACATGCATCAAAATTTTCTAATTAATTTGAAAATTAATTTACACTCACTAAATGAATTATGAATTGTTCTTTCGTTTATTACACATCTAATAAATTTTGAAATACTTTTCCATCAAAACTGCATTTACATTTAAGCATTTAAAGTCGATAGCAAATGTTTAAGACATAAATACGTTGATAAACATCTCCCTCTTGTCATCAGTATCTTTAAAATTCTACCAAGCATTCAACCATCAAGAGCAACACGATCAAGAACTGTCTAGCTAGGCACGTTTACGTTGATACTCCTCGTGGTTATGTAACTTACGATATGTATGGTGCTACTGTTCGTGGTTCAGTAACTTGGACATGTAAGACACTACTGTTTGTGGTTGAGTAACTTGGACATGTAAGATGCTACTGTTCGCGGTTGAGTAACTTGGACATGTAAGACACTACTGTTTGTGGTTGAGTAACTTTGACATGTAAGACGCTACTGTTTGTGGTTGAGTAACTTTGATATGTAAGGTGCTACCCTTCTTGGGTGAGTGACTCAGACATGTAAGGTATTACTCTTCGTGGTTGAGTAACTTGGGACATGTAGGGTGCGACTTTTTGTGGTTGATATGCAAGGCTCTACTCTTCTTGCTTGAGTAACTTGGACATTTAAGGTGCTACTCTTCGTGGTTGAGTAACTAAGATGTGTAAAGTGCTACTCTTCGTGGTTAAGTAACTTGGACATGTAGGGTCCATCCAGTTCATAGCCCATCTTGCGGTAATAGTCTCTTGTACCAACACCTAGATAATGAAACAAAGGTTTATAACTATAAAGGTTCTCTATATATATACAATAGTGTGCGTGAGTCTTCTGTACTCTAAAAATTTCATTAAATTAGTTCATCTTAAAAAAAATTTTGTGCACATTAAACAACATCTTGCATTAGTTTTTTGTTTGAATTAATTTTTCCTAGAAAAAATATTAATCAGGTATATACCTCTTGTTTGACAAAACTAGATTGTAAAATGCAGCCACATGTTTTAAAATCCTAGATCACTCCAACAAATGAAAAGCATAAAATTAGGAAAACCCAAAATTATTTTAGCATTACCTGAAATGACAGCAATCTTAGATGAACCATGTTCTTCCCTTGCAATGCGTGCTGCCTCCTCCATCAACAACATCCCAAAACCCTGATGTTGGAACTTCGAAGGGTCACGTGCATTCACCGGTACTACGCTACCATACCTGACATATTTATGTTAAAGAATACCTAATGGAAACCTTTTCCTACAAATAGTAATATATGAGCACACCTATAATCCCACAATGGAATTGGCGACCGGGACACAAAAAGGGCCCCCAGTCTCAGAAAGCCACAGGGCCCCTAGCATTATGGTACTCCTCAGGGTACTCATCATAATTACACATACTGCACATTCAAACTTAAGTTTATTTATTCAAAAAGGATACACATGCAACTCCCTGACAATTGACACACCACCTTTCAACTCTGACCTGTAAGTATCCTTCGAACACTTTCGTAAACGTAATAAGCCAATTAAAATGTCTTGTTCAGGATCTTCATAAGATAGAAAAGTCTCCCACCCTCCTCCAGCACAATAATCTCTCCTAATCAATTCAACCTGGTAAAAAAATTGTAATGACAATAATAGCAGTAATAAAAAGATAATCTGAGGGCACCATACTTATGTACTGAAAAAATAATGGCCGACGGTCGACCCGCTTTAAACGAGGACTAGCATTATATGCCTTGCATTGCAAGACCATCAAATGGCGAAGTTTGCATGCCATCCGGACCACTTCCAGTCCGGCGGCGAGAATTTGACACAAGGTGGATCCCCTCGAGTCTGCCTGTTGGCTCGGTCTGTTGTGGCTGGAAAATATATAAATAACATTCTAAAATCAGCATCTTACTTCCGATCAGCACGAAATTCAAGGAGGACCGGGATACTTGTGACAGCGTCAATATGTGAAAATTTGAAGTAAATCGGTCCATTAGATTTTGATTTATGCACCCGAAAGGACATACAGACAGACAGACCCACGCACAGACATGCACTATTACAATACCCTTCACCTTTTTTTCAAAAAGGCGAGGGTAACAATGTTACAGTTAATTAAAAAATATATATAATTAAGTTAAAAGTACAATATCTGACTTCATAAGGTCTGACTTTGTGATGAATTTCCTGGATGCCCACTTCACGCGTGCGAACGTCACGACAATGTGTTCCTAGATCTTTCATACGAGCTAGAGCAAGTTCTCGTAAGTTACCATGTTCTACACCAGACGTCACTAATGGCATGGGAATGTCCCTGTTCAAGAAACAATGCGGTCATCACTACACAGAAATATGCACTTTTAAGATAACAGAGTATATTATGAATTCATATAAATCGATTAATCAACAAAAGTACTTAATAAACAAAACCTTTTATTAATCATCCTTTTAAGTATGTTTTACCTGTCATTATATTTTAACTGTGTATACTTTTTTCATAATTTGTATATTTATAGAAGAATGTTTATTGACATGGTTTGCATAATTCTATGTATATTTTTTGGACAAACATTGTTAAATGTTAAACCCCTTGACTGGGAGGCACTATATACAACATGAACAATTGCAATTTATAAAATTGAGATAATTCATTTTCTTAGAAATAATAGAGTATTAAAAGTGAAACAGTCTGTTAAGCTTTCACCTTTGAACTCTGTACACCCGTGTCCATGGTGGTACTAAAGCCAGTATCCTAGCAACAAGGTCGATAAGTAAGCTTGGTGGGTAACTCTTATAACGGCCTGTCTTCCACAGCTCATACAAGCCAGTTCCACGAATGACAAGTGTTGGGTACAACTTCAAACCATCTGGTCTAAAGGCTGGATTCTCAAAAAACTCCTATTAAAAATGCAAAACAAAAAAGAAGTATACACTGTTTATATGTCATATATGAACGATAAGCTTAATATTCAATGTAAATTTAAATTTACTTCTGATTATTTTTTTTCTTATTGTTATAACACTTACAATAAACTGCTCTACATCTCGTTCGAAGTCTACATTTGGCAGGTCTGGCATCATGTGGGAAACAACTTTAAATCCGCAGTCTTTAGACATTTGAAATGATTCACAGACTGCTTTTACAGTGTGGCCCCTGAAACAAAAAAGAAAGTAATGTAAAAAATTAATCCTCAATAGAATTCACAGAATGCTGAGATTATCTCCATTGTAAGATTAATTGCTTATTAACCCACACAACATTATTAACGTCTCACCAAAACATTACATTGCAAACCATCTAACAAGCCCTCGTGACCTGACTTTGGATATTAAGCCGCTTATTGTACATCACACTTACTGAGCATCATATATATTTTTTTACATACAGCTGGAAAAGTCAGAGTTGCTGTTCAATCTTTGAACACTTCTATGGATTGCCGACGTTATATACTAGTTTCATCATTTGATTGATTAGTCTATTAAAGGATTCAGTCTTAAAACCCTTGCACCAAATGTAGGCTAAAAACACTTCCAACAAAGGATTGTTCTTCAGGATGTATTAAGTACAAATGTATTTAATAAAATTGTACTATAATAAGCTTTTTCACTATTTTCTTCCAAAATTATGAACTACCTGTTGGTATCACGTGCAACATCTTCGTAAACACTCTGAACACCAATCTCAAGTCTTGTGCAGCCATAATTCAGCATATCACTGTCAAAAAAACATAATGAAAATATTCATTCTGTCTGTGAACATATATGTGATGTGTCATATGCTAGATAAAATCATACAATAGAAGGCAGTGTGTATACCTCAAGTGTTTCTTTAGACAGTAATCTGGTCTTGTCTCTATGGTAATTCCAATACACTTTGTTTTGCTCCGTTCTGAATACCTGCAAAAGAAAATTTTGTCAGACCATAGTAAAAAACAATGTTATTCCTTGATGTTCAAGTAATAATAGCAGTGTCAGCATTAACCTCACTATTGCCATTTAAAATATAAATATCCCCAATTTTCTACCTATAAACTCATTGTGCTAACCTTACAGTAATTAGCAAATATTATAAGCTGGTGCACAGGACAGACATGGAGGGTTTCAGCTTGGGGAGGTCTTCGCCCTGCAGTGGGCCATTAACGGCTGAAATGATGATGATAAACTGGTGGGATGTGGTTGGTTGTTGAAACACAAGAATTATTACGAAAGCCCAGACAGCGATCACCTACAGTAGCTTAAATCATTCTGATTCCTTTGTTGTTCTATTTAGAAGCACTCTGTCCTTTAAATAATCATATTATCCTCCATTATTTTACTCTGGAATAGACTACCACAATCAGTGGTATACTCAAAAACTATATTCACATTTTAACAAAATTTAATTGAATACTTAAAAAGTTAAACCCTTTGCTGTCTTGTTTTACCTAATGGTCTGTATGCGCAGGGTAACAGGGGGCTGTATGGACCAGTACACCGGGGTAACCCCCTACTCTTCTCAAAAGATGTACTGGGTTCTTTAAAGTGCACATGAGCCAATTGTGTACACTTGACCTACGGTTTATAGTCCTTATCCGAGAAGACTTGTTCCACCAACAGAACCACAGACGAGCGTGCCGTTTGAACCGATATTATGCCTGTAGGTTGCGGTGCGATTGCCTTAACCGCTCGACCATTCAACCGTTTGCATTTTATTTTATTAAGTTTAATTAAGGGGGGGGGTTAATTATTAGCTACTAGTCATGATGACTATGTAGCTATCTGGCCTCTCCAGGTTGTATACCAAATTTTCATAAATAAAAAAAATGAATAACAATCAAAAAAATACTTACTTGACAGCCTCTGAAATGTTGTTACTCGTGTGACCAGATAATGCATCATGTAAATTTCGAACAAAGTAGTCCCTGTATTCTTCAGATAAAGCCATGAACGTCCCTCCCATTATGATGAACTCAACCTTGTCAACACTATGTCCAAGAGACTTCAACTGTTAAAAAATTGAAACACAGCTCATACATTACCTTACAAACTTATTTATTTTTAAAACTGAGATTTGATAAATGATCAAACTTTCTTATTATGCACTTCAAATTGCCTCTAAACGGTAGTACTGACTCAGCTAAATAGCGTATCTATAAATAATAGAACAGATTGGTTAACTACAGGTGGCCATTTATCAACTGTTAAACCAAAAACATTTAATACAATAATTATTAGCAACCAAGATATTTTTGATTATTTGCCGAGCAGAGCAGACCAGACATGAAGGTGAACAATGCAAGCGTATAGAACTTCAAAAATAAAATAAATAGATATAATTTAATGAGGAACCAAGGATCTCCGAGGCTCAGTCAACAAACATAGTTAAAGCTTATGATTTCAGAAATGACACCAGTAACAGGAACATGTTTTGATCTCACCTGTTCTACTCTGTGCCTTGTCTGTAGATAGGGGTTGTACCTGGCTCTTATGGCTCTCATTGAGGTAGGCTGCAATAATTCAAATAGAACAAAACATCAATAGATAATAAAAAAAGCTTATTTAAATTTAGTAAACAAGCAAAATATATATAAAAAAACTCTTACTTCATAGCCAGTATATGACTGAGTTGAGTATTCAAAGTCCGAGTCTGGACCTCCAGGGCAGTATACACAAATGTTCCCAGTCATACTGATGTGTGGGCAGCGGTGAGGTTTGCACATTACAGCAACAACTGCAATCTACCAGCAGAAGAATCAGTGCATGAACACAATAATTACTGTAAGAACATTGCAATAGTTCATAACTTTAAAGTACTGTGGTCATTTTACAAAATTAAAATATGATGCTTAATTCCATGACAATACATTATTCAACTGTGCATTCTGACAGTTAATCTAAAGTGGTGGATCTTGGGGTGGGTTGGAGACGAAAGAAACCCTACTTTCCGACTGTCAAAATTGGGGGCTACAGTACAGATACAGTGTCTCAGATGTGAGGGTACAGTTAAAGTCCCATGCATTTGACTTGGGCCATGGGGTTCAGTGGTCTAATTCCAATGCATAACCGGAAATTTTGTTTAATAACATGGAATAAATGACTCAAGTAATTACTCACTTACCCCACTTGCAGTACGAATTGGCTTAGCCTTTAACTTAGGAAGAAGGGCCTGTAATCAAAATTAAATTTCATATTACGCATTATGACAAATATTTAGCAATTAATTTTCTTGGAAAACTAAAAAAAAAAGCATTAATATTATTATCATTTGTAAGTATTATTCATGAAATACCTTTTTGTGCTCTGTTGGGACGGCTGCTATGATGTCCACTAGTCTGGGTTGAGACGCTAGGCCATACTTGCGCGCCGTCAAACTTTTGACCCGATTCAGGTTGATATCTTTGCATTCCTTGTGTGCATTGATCAACTGGTTTACTATCTCAGATACTGTTAGCACCATTAATTCCTGATGAGAAAGCTGAGGCCCTATGACACAGAAAGGAAAATGAAATTTATAGAAAACAGTATCCCCTGTGCAATTAAAATACTGTACTTTACAGTATGGTGTATATTATGGCTAGGGATATACCAGAGGTGTTATATTTCATAAACCGGACTTACTGCAATTCTGCCTGTGGATATTTCATAACCAAAATTGAAATGTTATGTTTATAAAAGAAATGTCTGTGTGACAGTGTTACATGAAGTCTGAGTATGATAATCCTGGCTGGTTCTTACAACATTTGTGCCACCCCATTTCCTCACTAAAGGTAAGAAAGAGTCCAAGAATATATGCATTCGGAGAAAGCCTACCCTATCCTGAGCCGAGCTAGGCTAGGCCTAGTACAGAGCCCTCTATATAGAGTGGTGTACGTGACTGGGGAGTCTAGGCCTACCTAGGGCCAACTATTCTAGCCTAGTTTGAGGCAGGCTAGGCGGTTAGCCTAAAAAAAGTAAAGACCAAGCAAGGGCCTAGCTAGGTTATGGCAGTCATACGTAAATCGGCACCTGCCACAACCATAATTTGGCACGCCCATTGAATAGATGCATTTTTAATTGATCGTACGAACCTTTACGTTTGTTTTTGCCCATTATTTTTTTAAGTTTCCTCCAGGTGTCAGTCGAACGGATGACTTCTTGCGACTTAAAAATCAACAAACATGCACACGTTTTAGTTGCTCATTAAAACGCCCTCTATTGTTAATGTCATTTCTGGCGATTGCATCAAGCAAGGACTTATTGTATCGGGCCGTGAAAATGACAAAAACAAAAAACAAAAAACAAATCATAAAAAATAGTTTTGAAATTAATTTGCTCATTTTGCAGCAACATACAACTTACTAATTTGAGCATAGAAATAATTGAATTTAAAAAATGTGTGCCCTGATTTTTAAACTGGATAATAATAAAATAATTAAACACAGTGACTGGAAATGTGACTTTAAAATAATGGGTAAACATTTTCTAAATAGGCCCTACTCTAACTTCTATGTTCAAGTTGATAATGTTTATGTTACTTTAAATGGGCAAGTTAATTCCAAAAATGATTTTAATGATTTTTTGGTATTTTGCATCTTTCAAAGTCCTTGAAAAGGGCCCACTTTAAATATTAAAAACTTTCAAGATTCAATAGTTTGATTATTTCGTAAGTCATCGAAGGTTAGTATCTACTTTCCTATTCACAAAATAACAAAACATAAACAGGTCTACTCTGCGCCCTGCTCTACGTAAGAGGTCACACAGAATGGAATCCCTCTTTTTGAACACGGTGTCCCTTAATGCTTCAACATTTATTATTTTTAAAAAAATTGTATGCAACAAATACAAAATACTACAATTAAATTTACATATTTGTTTCAGCCATTAACTTATGTTTTCTGTAACTCTATAGCCTAAACATCGGCTCTGGATCCAGCCGCTCCTCTCACAGGGTTTGGTTAGTAGAATCAGTCTTCCGGATAAGGACCTAAAATGGAGATCCTGTGTACTGGCTAGTGTGTACTTTAAAGAACCCACTGCATCTTTGGGAAGAGTAGGGGGTTACCCCGATGCTGTGGTTTATTTCAGTCCCTGTCGTTATGGAATGATGTGAACATGCTATGTAGCTACATAAAGCGCCTCTTTACGGCTGCCAGTAGTCACAGAAAATGCGTTACTTTGCAAAGAAAAATAATAAGCATTTGTATCCTATGTGAGGATCCATGTTAAATGTTGTCGAACATGAAAAAGATCTTGGTTGGTAGGCCTATCACTTTCAATTCTAAACTTGTAATGTTCAAGTTGTGGGTGTTGCAAGAGAGCAAATCGAAAGTTAGGCAAAATATTTCTTAATAGGAATGAACGGTTTTCTTGGCTTGTACAAGGTATCGTAATTGTCGTCCTATGTTTAAATAATGTAATGTGGTTTTTAACTCGCTACATCATAGACAGTGGTGGCGCCATAAGTTGGCCGACAGGGGTCCGACATGTCCGACGGAGGGGTTCGAACCGGGGCCGACAGAGCCTCGGTCGACGGTCCGGAATGAAAAATTCCTTTAGAGTTCACTGGGAGATTTTTTATGGTTTATGGTCCAATATGTGCTTTTAGACCACAATATTAGGGATTCGATCAAAATAACGTTATTTACATAGGAAAATGATTTTTTTATATATTTTTTTGATCCGACGACCTAGTCTAGCGTTGCAGATGAATCAGCGCATTAGCTGCCCCAACACAATCGGTAAGGCACCCCAAGTTGAACCAGGTTCAACCTTCCCGACAATTGTCACCAATAGGGTGAGTGATTGTATAGGGAAGCCAAGCTTTATTTTGATCGATTAAAGGTTCTTAACTTACTCTTGCGTACGGGAAACAAAGAGCGCATTTGTTAAAGATTTTCAAGATTTTAAATGGTATATATAATGTTTCTTGACTCTTTTTTAGAATTAGATACCGATGTCAGAACTCGTTGGTATTCTTTAATTTAAAGCTTAAGCATTCTCACACAAATTAGATGAGAGATTCGTTCAGTCGAAAAGGCAATTATTCTTTTGGAACTGATTCAGTTGTTTCCGCTAAAACCCTTATCGATTCAAAACATCCAAATATGGGCCGTCCGGATAATTATGTATTTGCATTTTATCTTCTCGTTAATCCCCAAAAACGTGTGTTACTAGTGTGTAGGCCTACACGTTTTGTTGTTGTTGGTTTTTTTTTTAATTATTAAACTAGGAAGGGATTAAACTTATTGTAACTATGAGAGTGGCTTATATCTATTTGCCATTTCAACTGACTTGGCGTAGCGACGAGTCATGGGGTCCGGGGGCGATAAAATGTAGGGAGCCCTTAAATATCAGTAAGCCTATTTTCGAAGTGACCGGTAAAAGACTATTTTATTACTAGACAATGTCAAAACATATAATGTGAAATATAATCAACTAATATTTTCCACATACAATTTTAATTTTAATATTTGCATGCAACGTATAAATTAGGACTGTCTATGCATAAATCGTCGTTTTCGTACGTGCATTTCATTCTAGCATGCATGTTACATGAATCATGAATGTAGGCATTATTAATCCAATGAAACTTTGCCAATATAAATAAGCATTATCGTTCAATCAAAAATTAGAGAAAAATCCCCTTCTAATAAATCTGCAACAGAGTTTGTTCGTGGGATTCTGGTCTACACTGTATTTGGCTTTTTGAAAAATAAAAGAAAAAAAATAAAGAAACTTGCAGTAGAGTGCTGGGTAGTAGTAAACGGGGAGCCCTTGGCCTCTCCGGTGGCCATTTGGACTGGCCCCAAAAAGCACAGTTAAAACCACTGTTAAGGCTCAGTTAGTAAAGTGTTAGGTAGAGGGCTCCGGGACCCAGGGATGCACCCCTGAGAGCTCACGGGCATGACGTCACTCAACTGAGTTTCCTGTTAGGACTTTTCTTGTGCTGATCCGCTGACCGCCGTAAAAACGAGGGTGGAAATGTATTCAACCTTGCTGTGGTGGCTGTGACACTAAATGGTGGTTGCCGACGATGATATTGATAGTGGTGGCGATGATGTAGACAATGCGATTGATAACGGTGGTGGTGGTGGTGATGATGATGATGATGATGATGATGATGATGATGATGATGATGATGATGACGATGATGATGATGACGCGACAATATAACTGATAATGGCATAATGATTTTGGTAGTGGTGATGATAATGATAATAATGAAAATAATAACAATGATCATGATTGTGATTGGCAATAGCAATGATGATGATGATGATGGAGATGTTAATGATAGTGATATTATGGTGATAATGATGGTGATCGTAGTGAGAAAAACAATAAACCACTAATAGATAATTGCAATATAATCTACTTTTATTATTCTCATCATATAAATCTTTTGTCATCAAGCTTCATAAAATGTTTTTAAAAAAAAATATTACCTCCAATATCATGTTTGCTGAGCCTGGTTAATAATTATATCCGGAGACTGAATGTACTTTCATAACTTAAAATGGCTTAATATCAAGGAACGCATATCTTTAAAGACGATGCTTATAACATATAAGGCACTCAATGGACCTGCCCCCAAATTACATCTCTAATCTCCTCAAACATAAATCTATTCCTCGCCTTCTTAAACCATTAACAAGCACCTTCTAGAGCAAGGCAGGTGGAGATATAAAAATCTGGGTGCCGCCTCTATATTATGGAATGCTCTTCCTCTTGATATCAAAACCTCATCTTCTGTCAGTATGTATAAGAAAAAGTTAAAACTTATCTCTTCCATCTCATTCTAATTTTTTTGACACACATTTAAATTGTTTGTTTTTTGGGTTTTGTATTTTTAAAATTGTTTTTCATAATCGTACTTGTAAGCATTGTTAATCAACATCAGCATGTTAATGTGCACTTTGAATAATACGGTACCATTGTCATATCGCCCTGAACATTGCATTCTGTCGTGGATATTGGCGCTACATAAATCCTTGTTGATTGATTGATTGATTAATTGATTGATTGATAGCAAAACCAGAATTTGAATGTGGCCTAACTCAATAATGTATAGTTACCTGCGCATTCTTGATAAAATCGCAACTAGGCCTATTGCTTCATCAGTTTAATCCACATTTATTTTCGGACCTGTATTTTTCATCCTAAATTCAAAAAGGCCTAGCACCACATGTACGTAGTTGTAATTTAGTTATACTTAGTATTTACATTGTGATTCTTTTAAAAATATTCTGTATAGGCCTACGTTATAACGTGGTACAACAAACTATTTCAGTCATTATATGACTAAATGTCTAGTTTTCCTGATTTTAATCTATCGTCACAAATACTCTATTATTAGTAATCAACGCTTCTTCTGCAGTCTTTTTCTGTCATTGTTGAAAATGTTTATCCCTAACTCACCTAAATAATAATCCACACGATGTATGATCGTCTATAAATTTGTTTTTGTTCTTACTTTTAAACTTGTAAATTTATAACCTAAGAGGGTTTTTTTTTTTTTTTTTTTTTTTTTTTATAACATCCATCCAAATGATTGACAACGAGATGATACCAAACGATAACTACAACTTTGATGTCTCGGCAAAGAGTATAGAATTGGTTTCGCCTTCATTTTTCCTTCTCCTTGGACGTTTTTCGAGTCCTGATTTTCTTTCCTGTCGAATATCGTGGACTAAGGTAATCAGTGGCGACGGGCACTTTATTTGAAGAGACGGTTTTACTGACAGGTCGTGCTTTCGGTCGAATAGCAAGGTCAATCCATCCGTGTCTGTTGTGCTTATTGTTTAGCTTCGGCTCACCTCTGCGAAGAACAAATGGAAATGGCTAGGCTTAATAAAGTATTCAGCCATTGCCTGATAAGATCGTTATCAAAAGTATTGCCATATATATAATTATAATAATCTAGCTTTCAACAATTTCATGTTACAATAACGTAGTTAAGTTATAAGAATTTTTGTTTTGTTTTGGTAGAACCATAAATACATGTTTATATCCTAATTTCTAACGATATAACGTTTAAAACGCTGCTATAACGTTGTGATAATGTTATTTCTTTTTACAAAACTTAACCACACTATTTGATTATGATGAGGATGATGACAATGATGATGTGATAATAATGACGGTGAGAATATTAAGTGATGATTGATTGGTTGGTTGAATTTTGGTTGATTGATTAATTTAAAGTTTTGATTAATTAATTTGTCATAGATAGTTGGTTGATTGTCTGATTGATCGATCGATTGATTGATTGATTACCTGATTAATTGAATTATTGGACGGATGGTTTATTGGATAATTTATTTACTGATTTATTGATTGAATAATTGGTAGGTTTATTACCGTATTAATAATTCATGAGTTGATTGATTAGTTGATTGATTTATAGAATAATTACTTGAGAAATGTTTTGACTGACTGACTGACTGACTGACTGATTGATGCATTATTTTTCTAGGGGTTGAAAAGTTGTCCGTATGGTTGGTCGATTGATTGAATGATTAATAGAATGTTTAATTGATTGATTGGTTTATTGGTTGATTGTTGGTTGGTTGATTGATTTAAAAAAACTAAATTAATTTAGCTTTGTTCATTATTAGGAGTGTGGCCAAATTGCTTAGAGAAAATTGTTAGAGATAATATCTCAGTCTAGGGTTAATGAGACTGTTCTCTGTTTGAATAAAACGCATTGGGTTTTAATTTTAAAAAAACCCAAAAAAAACACGCACACACATAGTGAAATTACATAGAATTTTGTCAAGTTTCAACTGAGTATACTAAAATTTCTGTAACAGTACACACATTCTAAAAGAGCTAGACATAATGTGTTAAAATAAAAGTTGCACGGTGCATATTATAATAAAATGATTGTATGCTAAAAATTAAAAGAACCGGATCTACCATCCTTTTAAGTAGGAAACTCCGATAGTAGTTTGAAACATCCATTTAAAATTTGGACCAAGAAAATATGACTCTGATAATAATGATAATATAGAGATTTTCTCTATCCGAGTTAAAGTTAACTCGCTGGACAAAGGTAATCAAACCGCCCGCTGGTGCCACCCCTGTTCACTTTCACATATCAATTACAGAAGAAATCGAATGACGTGATGAACCTGTACATACGTCTAATAGCCTGCATGCACTGATACTACTACCAAGATAAAACAGACATTAAATGGAATCATAAAATGTAAATTTACACAACGGAAGACAATGCACTTTAATGCTTACCTAACTACTCGTCCGAGTATTGTGTTTCCTTCAAATGTAATTTCACATTAAATATTAAGAAGTTCATTTTTTATGAATTATCGAAAGCATCGTAAAAATCGATAGGCCTATTTAAATTCACAGACGAAATTGCTTGCTTGCAATTTGATGACGGTATTAAACATACACAGGCAAACTTTAGAACTGTAATTCATAAAAGGATAGGATGTAATGTGGATCAGGAATAAATTTCAACGTAAAAGAAAATCACCTTTATAAGGATTTTCTGAAATTCAACTGAATCTATCGATTACGTTAATATACTTGCAATAACAACTGGTGAATCGTCTTGTTTTCGTAAGTCTCTAATCAAAATATTTAGCATTGCTGGAAATTTAACATTGCTGAAAATGTAAACTAATCCATTGAAAAAGCAGACTAAAAATAAAATTCAATATGGTGAAAAATAATAAATAATAATATAATAAAAATAAATACCGTACTCCATCACGTAATTAATTTTGAAAAAAAAAAGAAGCAACTCAATCGAAACGTCGAGACTTTCTCAACAGACAAAATGGTTCTTTTTTCCAGAATTATCTACGTGGTGTACATAAGTAGGGCCTATTTATTATTTTCATATTATTATTTATTTTCCACAATATTGCATTTTATTTTAAATCTTGTTCATTTTTTCATTAGATTGATTTAGTAAAACCTTTAAATAATGATAATAATAACATAAATGATATTAATGGTATTGTTACTATTTTACCTGAAGCATTTGACGCCGGTGGTGGTAAATCCGACCGTGGACTCCATTGTGTTTCCTCAGAAGATTTCCGCATTGAGTCTAATTGCATGCCATCATTTTCCTCTGGCATATCCTCTGTGTTCCTAAAGTATTCCTCTATTGCAGCTGCGCCGCGTCTACACACTTCTATCGGTGGTGAAATTAACTTGTTACCTTCAATGTTTGCTGAGTGCGGATATTCTGCCCAATCGAGACGTTTCAAATTGCCGAAATTTCTGGGTAATGATTGTAGCTTATTGACACCGAGCCAGACATTACGTAGCATTGTACAGTTACAAAGCGAGTCTGGGATGTGCTTGATAGAGTTGTACAAGAGGAGCAATGTCTCCAGGCTTACAAGTAGCCCAATATCTTCTTGGATCACTGATATATTATTGTCACTGGCGTCTAGAAACTCCAGTCTCTTCAATTTGAAAACCTCTCGTGGTATTTCTTCGAAAAAGTTATTTGCCATGTGTAAACTCTTAAGTCGTTGGAGGTTTTGTATTGATGACGGCAAGTCTGTGAGTAGATTGTTACTTAGAGTCAGTCGCTCTAGATTGTGGAGCTCGCCGACCTCCGGTGGTATAAATACGAGCTCATTTGTATCGAGGCAAAGTACGCGGAGGTTCACCAACTGGTTGATCCTACATGGAACCTCTGGTAACCGCCAGTGCAGACAAGACTCGCGTTCTGGGCTCAAATCCAAAAACTCGATCTTGATCATGTCAAACAACTCATCGGGGACATCATTGAGTTCTTTCCCGGACAGTTTCAGCCTTTTCAGATTGAAAATAGGATCTCGGTCAAGTCGAAGTTTCAGCTTTGACTTTCTAGGCGTTAGGGAGTCCATCGTTATATAAGAGAATGTTTCGGTGACGGGAATTGATCGTCACGTTAAAATATGAACAGCTAATCCACACGGTATATTTTCATTCTATAATAAATGTTTGAAAATTGAGGTTAAAAATGAACATATTATGTCGAAAAATTCCTGACCTATAGCTAAAGAGATTATGTTACATGTTCATCTAATCATACAAACATATATAATACACACACACACACACACACACACACACACACATAGTTACCAACCTTCTCGCATCGTGCGGGACGGTCCCGCATTTCAAAGTGATTTAGATGAAACACGCATTTTGCAGAAACACATGCGTCATCATAAATTTGCCACGCATTTAGCACAAGACTATGCGTGATAACGAATTATCACGAATTCAGTGGAAAATATATTTAAAATTAAAAGAAATTTGTTTTATTAATAATATAAAACCTTTCATGCAGTAACTTGAGTCATTAGACAGCTGTCGTTATCTCATTCGAAAATCAATTCACCCACAAAAATTTCTCTTTCTCGACCAAAACAACCCAGCCAACCACGCACTTGGCGCGTGTGGTCTTGGTGTTCATATTCACAACCAATTGTTGATTATGACTGAAACTCGGACCACACCGGGCCCCGCCCCTGGATGCCGGCAGGAGCCCTGACTGTCCCGGCCCCCAGCAAACTGGTGTAGTCACGCATTTCAAATCTCTCAGGTTGGTAACTATGCACATACACACGTAATTTTACAGCGTTAACGGCTATCTTGATTTATATTACATGCTTTTATTCGTTTCCAGCCTTAAATATTTAAACCACACGGTATATTTTCATTCTATAATAAATGTTTGAAAATTGAGGTTAAAAACGAACATTATGATGTTGAAAAATTCCTGTCCTATAGCTAAAGATACTATTTTATATATGTTCATCTAACAATCATACAAGTATCACACACGTAATTTAACAGTGTTTACGGCTATCTCGATTTTCAGCATATGCAATTTTGTTTCCAGCTGTACCTATTGTGTAATGGAATGTATCTGACGTCATTTGAATCTGTTCAACCATGAAGCCTCTGTGGTCTAATGGTTATGACGCTTGCCTTGAGAGCGAGAGATCGCAGGTCCAATCCCGTCAGAAGCATTTTTTACACAATTTATTAATTTATTTACCTACTTAAAAGACAACAATTTTTGAGAGCTATGCTACACGATGTATTATCATGCCCTTTATTTGAACACTGTATTTACATTTTTTTCATGATTTATATATCCAAAAAAAATCATCATCATCATCATCATCATCATCATCATCATCATCATCATCATCATCCCTCCAACATATTCCCTGTCTCTTATACACATCTAGATGTGTGATATTTCGGTGTTGATTTATTGTGCGAGACATGGATAACAAATTAATGTATAACAAGAGGTTGACATTTCAATTAATTGTGTAATTTTAGAAGCTACAGTTATACTCAAGCAACCGTGCACATATATTGTAAAAGGTGAAGGAGTTGGAAATATATACGTAGCCGATTATGTCGAATGGAGAAACTCAAAGATAAACCAATCAAACATATTTTTTAAGGTATTGATTTTTTTTTTATGCTTTTGCAAATTAATGGTATTGAAAGTAATCCAGATAAAAGTTAAGTGGACGTTACAATTAATGACGGTATGTGCGATCTGTTTAACAATCGATTTTTATAATTTTAAAATGAACTGTGCAAGCCGTACATCACATAAAAGTAATTTTAGTATGGAGACACACCTCCACTGGTGTTAAAAAGATGATAAATTTACAACAAAGAGATCAATTAAAGATATTTTTGAAGCAAAATGTTAAGTGTAGCAAAAATCTCTTGTTTTGATCTTCGTATTGAATGTTAATAACTCATTAATCTTTTTATAATGAGCTATTTAATTTTTTTAAAGATTTTTGTATGGTTTTCCCATACGTTATGATAAACGATATATCTTTAACTGTCTATAGTTGCAATTCTATCTGTATGTCGATCACATAAATGACGTACTCTATTATTGACTTAATGAACCCTGAAAACAGTTAAGCACAATTAAAATCAATAAGCTAAATTAAGCACAATTAAAATCAATAAGCTAAATTGAGAGTAAAATTGTGAATTAGCTTTCCATTAGGCTGTCTGCCATAATTATATTTTACACAATTGACAAAAACACTTTTAATAATTGGTTATTAAGAATAAGAATGTTGAAAGCAATAAAAAAGAAAACAAAATAATAAAATAGACATAAGAATTATCCAATTTTTTAAAGACATAATTTTATATTAGATGTATTCATTGTAAAACGTAAGCTACTGGCGTAGGACTAGGCCTCGTAACGCATTGGTAGAGCACCTTCAAGGTAGAGTTAAACCAGGAGGGATTTCATATCACAAAAGTGTATGTGGGCAGAAGTCAACAAATCACGTAAACCCTTTGGAACTTAGAACCCATACCGCTTCCATCCACCATTACATATGCTTGGTGTACGAATGACATGTGTGTGTGTGTGCCTTCATTTTCTTGTGACATGATAAGCATCAATGGCAGATCCAGTAATACGAAATAGATAGGCCCAGGAAGGATTTTCAGAGATTGGGATCTATACCACTTCAGCCTCACCGTGGTTGGGGCTGAGGCAAGAACATTTTTGATTATGACACCTCTAGATGACCGGAAATGGCACTCTCAAACTTTAATTTGAATATATTTTTTTTTCTCCTTTTCTCAGATTTTAAAAATAATTGTGATTTTTTTTTTTTTTAGGGGTGGGGTGGGTTGAATCCGCCAGTGAGCATAGTGGACTCATGTTTAGATTAGTCTAAACTTTAGTCCAACATATTCCTCCATGGTATAGCCTTCATGGCTGCAGCATGGAGGTATAAATAGTACCGCCATGGCTGCAGTAATAGGATAGTTGAAATGGATTTATCCTTTTCATGCTATCATCATCCACGCCTAATCGATTAACTTGAAGGGCGCGCATAAAAGACTTAGAAGGTCATTGATTATAGTCAATTCATTGGAATATTGATTTAAAAGCAGTCCGACGTATCAATGGAATATCCATTTACATCCTAGGTGCTGCGAGCACACCGTGTACTAATGGCAGGTTCAAGCTCAAAAAGTGTTTAAAACTGGTGGGAATCATAACGTATACCTAACATGATGTGCAGCAAAGGAAACTTCGGTGATGATGACACTATTGGTAGCAGAATAGTAATTTCTAATAGTAATGTAACATAACAACGGCAACAACAACAATAACATTAATAATAATAAATATATAACATCAAATATGATACCATATTAATTGAAATAAGAATATATATGAAATACGAATATATATGTATACAATATATATATAGGCCTATATTATATATATATATATAGATATATA